AATACGTAAAATAACACACTTTACTTCTCAGTGTAGTTCACTTTAAATTAAAATTATTATTATTATACAGGATTTATATAGCACCAACAGTTTGCACAGCGCTTTACAATATAAGGAAGACATTACAATCACAATACAATTCAAGGCAAGATGGTAAGGAGGGCCCTGCCCATGAGGGGATGAATTGTTTGAGAACGTGATGGTTGAGCAGTTAGGTTGAGGCGGGGAAGGCTTCCCTGAAGAGATGAGTCTTAAGGGATCACCTAAAGGCAGTCACAGTGGGAGATAGATGGGCAGGTTGGGGTAAAGAGTTCCAGAGGATGGGAGAGATTCTAGTGAAGTCCCGGAGGCGAGCATGGGAGGAGTTGACGAGGGAGCTGGAAAGCAGGGAAGTCTTTTGAAGAGCGGATGGGACGGTTAGGGTGATTCTTTGAGACAAGTTTTGAGATATAGCCGGGGGCAGAGTTGTGGGTGGCTTTGTAAGTCATTGTTAATATATGCACCTGAAGATGCAGTTCAGTTTCACACCTATGCCTTACATAGGGTACATAGGGTACATTTTGAATGACACCAAAAGACAATAAAAGACAATAAAAGGAACACACCCCTGCTGCAGTGCAGAGCAGTCACAAGACACGAAAGAAACACATAACAGATTCAACTTTACAGTTAGTTAGCATGACTAGTTGGAAGTAAGGAGATTAGGGGGGGACATGATTTTCATGTACAAAATGTTCAATAGTCATAGCAACATTAGCAACAAACTCTTTAAGATTAATTCCGTAACAAAGACTAGATGACACCACCTAAAACTGGTAGAAAAAAATTCAAACACAAGGGGCGAAGGGGGTTCTTCTCAGTTCGCGCGGTTAGGGTCTGGAACTCGCTGCCTCAAGCAGTGATTTACGCAAATAGTCTGGAATCATTCAAGAAGCTTTTGGACGATTTCCTGAGAGACTGTAATGTACAAGGGTACAGGTACTCTTGAGAATGAGAACACTCAGGGACCTATACACACACACACACACACACACAATAGGTTGGACTTATGTCTTTATTCAAACTCAAATACTATGCAACTATGTAACTATGACATTTTGGTCTTTGCAACTAAAAAATATTGTCAAAAACACATTAATAAATTTCCCCCAATGATCGTCTTTTAAACATTTAAACTGTAAGGATCCTGTGATACATTCAGCTACCTGATAAAGAGGCTTTGAACTTTTACATTTATAATTGCTCATAAAGTCTGTGAAGGGTCTCATTCATTCAGGGATATCTGTCCAAAATAAATCAAGGCAACTGAACTTGTTGTTATTTTCTTGAAGACATTTTGCTGGTCATCCGACTACCTTTCTCAATTCAGAATTGAGAAAGCTAACCGGATGTCTAGTGAAAAGTCTTCAAGACAAATACAGAAGTCCGGTTGCTTTGACATATTTTTTTATACATATAATTACTCATGCAGCTAATAGGTTTTGTAACCTCAACTCCCCCGCCCCATCCCCACCCCATAACATATCTTAGGGGATCTATGTATAAATGTTTACACACAAGTCAAAAATTTTCAGCCATGATTCACATCTTGTGTGAAAATATTTATAAACAGACTTCTAGTGTCCGGAGCCGATTACCAGTGTTGCAGTTATACAAAAACCCACAAGATGGAGACATTTCATCCTCTTAAATATAACTACTGGGTTGAAAAACAGAAGGGGTCGTCTGCTTAAAATGAAGGCAGAAAAGTCTTCTTTTCCACAGGTTAACATTAGTTGTATGTTGTAGAAAATAAGGTTAACAAAATTACTATACTTGCTGTATAATAATGATTGGTAATGGTAGTAGCTGTATAATAATAATTGGTCAATATCTGTAAAAAAAAAATGTTCTTACAGCTATATAAGGAACAGCAATACGATCAAAGAAACATTGCAACTGTGCTAATCAGAATGTATACTTCATTTAATTTTAGTCTCTACTGGGTTTGGGGTAAACATCCTTTTTACTCCTCACTTGCGTCAACAATTTCTGAGTCATTTACCAACAATAAACATTCAGCTAATTTGCAAACTGGTTCTGAGTAATTGAGTCAAAGTACTTAAGTGGTTGGATCAGCCTGTCACCCAGGAAACAAGCCATTTCTGAGCAATGGCAGCTACCAGTACGGGTTTCCACTAATAAAGAAGTCATGCTTGGGTCTTCCAGTGATCCCTTCCACTCACTGATGCTGCCTATCAGAAATATGCATCATCCCCACAGACTTATTTACACAGGCAGCAAGAGTTTATGTGGTGAGCGGAAGAAACCAAATTAGGAGTTCAACTGCCTCAATAACCCTCCACCACAGTGAAACTAAAGAGCATATGCAGTTCCAAAGGCAGTAAAAGAATGCCAGGGGCAGCAAAAGAATGCCATGGACAGCAAAAGAACACCAGGGGCAGCAAAAGAACACCAGGGGCACAGTAGATTACACTTTCCTGGAATGCCTATGATTTGGAAAGAGGTCATTTTTTTCTTTTAGGCAACAAGTCACATGTTTGACAGAAAAAGTAATATGCTACATGTGTCAAAATACATTACACCCACAGAAGTGTGGCTGTGAATTTTCCTTACACGTTTAGATGTAAACAACTTGGTTTCTGTGAAGTGAAAAGCATCATCTCTGAAGGTCAGAAATATTGGATGGATTTTTACAGAACCTGATTTGCTGCCAGAACTGGAAGGTAGAACTTCACAAATGTTTTGACACAATGTTTCAGTTTAGCAGAAAATATTAGCTGCTGTAGAAAGCATTTATAAGCAACTTGCTTGCAATATGGGTACTGTCTATTTGGACCCTTAGCCCTCGTTCACACCTGAACGTTTTGTAGCGTGTCCTACGCTCGATGAACGCTCTACAAAACGCTCAAACATCTAAATCCCATTGTATGCAATGGGTCTGGTTCACACCTTGGCGTATTTCAGCCCGTCCCTAACGCGCTACAAAACGGCCCACGCCTGAAAAGGTACATGTACTACTTTGGGCCGTTTTTGTTGCGCGTTTCCATTGGGATACAGCCAAGTAGCCCTCGGAAACGAGCGTTTGTCGCACAATTTTTTTTACCGCGAAAATTTGTTTCGTTTTTTGGCAATCATGTATGGCCACCCCCAATTCTGTGCCTAGTTTCCAATTTTGGTGAGTCACAGTTCGCAGTTAGCTGTGACTCGCCAAAACTATTCTACTTTACAAGACCTATAAGTATCTACTGCTACTAATACTGTATATATTTTGATATCCCCTGTGTGAGAAGCAGCCATTCCTAACTCATGTGACACATACTAGTACGCTATTCAAAGAGTAACTGTCCTGCATCTATTTGTTGAAATAACTGACAGAATGACTGCTTCAATCAGAGCCTTATCACAGTTTTTTTTTGCTGTTTTCTAATATACCAGTATTTGCCAACTATTGTCATTTTTAATAGAAATGGCTGAGCTGACCATCAGCTAAAAAATATCTTCCTCTCCTCTGTGCTACAAAAATAAAGCTCCTGCTGGGTATCTCCACTCCAACATGAAGTGTTGCCACACAGGAGCTGGGTTATCTTGCTGGAAAATCTCCAAGACTTGAAACATGTTCTGAAACATGCTCTGCTGTCATCACTGGCCAAGTATTACAGGGGTTCTGTCACATCCGGTTAGGAAGATATTTCCCCGCCCATTGCTCCTGTGAACATGATTAAGCCTTACCTCTTTTGAGAAACCTCTGACATGTCTAAAAAAGTGAATACAAAAGGCTACTAAAGGAAACCGGTCATGAGAAAAACATGGAAGGTGTAATAGATGGCATTGGTTAGTTGCCAGGCTATCATGTTGACCCTCTTGCTTCAAAACTACAGAGTCTATGACCTTAAAATAAATTTCCTGATCTGCATTCTTGTTCCCAGCCTCTAAATCAAAATATTGCAGCTGGAGACAATCAGGTAACTAGGAGTTTCAGAAGGAAGTCAATAATGGCAGCCTCCATTATCTCAAAGGTCTACTTTAAGAGGCCATTATCATTTTTCTATATTACGTATTGCTATTTCCTGCTCTGGGGTGTAAAGCGCCCAATATCATAAATTAGGGAAAAAACTTTGAATCTCCCGTTTATAGATCAGGAACAAGATCATGATCAGAAACTCATATCTGGACCCTTGCAGCATACAGAATATAATATATATATATATATATAACCATATAGTAGGGATGCACCAAAATTTTGGCCGAAAATTGTACTTTTGGCAAAATGGCAAAATTAACCTTTTTCCCGACAAAATTACGGTGCAACCATAGTGTCTCTCCTCTGACACAGAGCAGCACCCAGCGGGGAGGAGAGAAACCTTCAGGATGTCCAGCGAGGTGGGGAGGAGAGCGCTGTCAAGCGCATGTCACAGGAGGCGGTGCTTTCCCCCTACACCGCCCACCTCGGTTGAGCCGGCGGTGCGGAAGGAGAGCTCCCACCTCCTGTGACATGCTTGACAGCACTCTGCTCCCAACCCCGCTGGACATCTTGAAGGTTTCACTTCTCCCCGCTGGGCGCTGCTTTGTGTCCCCTCTGAAGTACTATGTTTACTATGTCCCCAATTATGAATGAACAGGAATAGCACTACATCACTTTCTGTTAATTCATAATTGTGGACATAGTAACTGATACTGTCTCCACAATTTATGAATGGACTGGAACACTGTGTCCTCAACCTCTTTTTCTATTTCAAAAGACCCCTGATATTTCCCAAGAGCCCCCAACAGTAAAGTAAAAATAAATAAAAATACAAATAAAACATTTAAAAAAAAAAAAAATTTGGTTTCAGTCTGACAAATGTTTTATTTTCGGTTTAAAAATGACAAAAGTGCACCTCTACTATATAGTACTATATGGGATATAGTACCATATCCCAAAAAATGGCCTGACGTTTCATACTGAAGGACATTAAAGTAATATTTACAGAGTGTCGACATCTGGGAAGCTTTATTACCTGAGCGATCCCTGATGACAAGATGTCTGCCCTCTCTCAGATGGATGGTCAGAAGATATGATATTAGGCTTGAAAGACTCAGGCTGTCGTAGCTTTCAAGGCCCTAGAAAACATACAAATGTAACATGTTGATTTCCGAATACTATTGTGATATAGGAAGCTAACATCAATTTTTTTTATCTCTTAAATAACACATGTAATAGAGGATGCCATCAGTCAAACGTTTTGCCAGAATATTTTCCAAACCTGAATTAGAAGACTTGCATTAAGGAGTAAGGTGGCCATATACCTTACAACCATTGCACAACTTTGTTTTGTCCAGACATCTCACCCTCGTTCAATTTTCGTTCAACTAGCCCATCATACACAGACCAACCTTTATCATTGCAAGCTATCTTGCCCACTGTAAAGGTCAGTCACGGGAAGGCTAATATTCTATGTTCCATAGTTCGATTGGCTAGTTTTCTTGCCCTTGCTGGACCTTTTGTATGTATGTCTTCAGTGGTCCAGATTTTTTAATTTCTATCCAAAATAAAAATGAAAAAATGGCTGGAGTTGGGCTTTAGGCTCTAGTTTTTTTTAAATCATAACTTAGAGTTTGGCACAGGCTTGCCAGTGCTTGTGGTCCCATTACCAAGAAATGTTCATATTCCATGCTCTGAGCAGCTCAGCATTTTAAAGCAATATACAAAGCATCAACCACAAGGTGGGGCAGAGATACAAACAATAGTGCAAAGAAAACTAAAATCAGCAACCAGATTCTTTAGTGCTAGCTGCTAGGATTTCCCTGTAAGTATAAATGCACATTTATGGAAATATCAATGGCGTCAAAAATAGTTCCAGAGGCATCCATGTCGCTTCAGCTACAACTCGCGGTATACTGAGCCTAGGGTGACGGGAGGACGCTAGTTTGTGTCCTCCCGTTACCCTAAGGAGAACTATGGGGAAAAGACTTAACCCCATAGTTCTCCTTTAAGGGTCACCTCCACTGGAGAGGGTTGTATTATTTATCTTTTATTGCAAGTTGCTTTTTTGTTTATTCTTTCTTCTATGGTTTAAGTTATTGACCCATTATAGGATAATTAACAAGTACAGTCAGAACTCCCGATCTCTATACATGTTGCCAATCAATGGCTCAGAAGACACTGAGACAGGCAATCAGCAGTTTAAAAGTAAGCAATGGCCACCTACAGATTTCTCTTGTGACAGACTTCTACTTGGCCCATTTCCCCCCTTCCTTTCTTTCACAGCCACTGATCAGTTTACTTTTGCTTTGCCTTTTATCTACCATATATTCTCTAAATGTGAACAACACAGGAATAGCTGAATGGGGACTATCAAAAGATAGGGTAGCAGTTTAAAAAACACATTTAATGACAATTATATTACCTATACAAAAACAGCACACAATAGGGTGCATTCTAAACTGTAGACAGAGAGAGTAAATGCCAAAATGTGGTTCTCGCCTCTGACAAACAGGACAAAGATCACGTATCATGTGTTCTTGTCCTCTGCAGTCGGCTCTCATTATTTGATCCTGTTTTATAATGCGGCAGAATATATACATACATACATACATACATACATACATACATACATACATACATATACACACACACACACACTGTATATATTCCTCAGCTTTCCCAGGACCCCACAATAAAGCCAAGTGACATGCCCGCCTAGGCAAGTGCACTAAAAGCCATTTTGTTTTAGGTTTAAATTAGTAGTTTTTATTGGGGTCAGGCGGCTAGCAAATAAGCAGATCTTGCAATTTCACACATAATCCATTAAACTAAAGTTAGAAGGATATGAATGACCAATTACACATCATTTGTCTTGTGTGCCACAACCTTGCAGACATTGCCCTACTTCAGTACATGATCTCCTCCTGTAACTGTGACTCCCGTCAAAACACACATACCTACCCAGCTGTTTAATCGCGTAGAAATTGAAATTTGATGCCATTCTAAAGCTTCCACACTCTATCCACCTGCCTATAGTATTTACAGATAATTACCTAGCAGGAACAATGTAACTAGACTAAAAAAGGGTTGATTCCTTTTCAATTGGGCTGCCTCCATCTTGCCCTCAATTCCCTACCAATTGAAACCTCACAACATGATGCTACTATCACTATGCTTCCAATGATTTATCCGGTGTTGGATTTCCACCACACAGAGCATTTTGCATGCAGGCCAAAAAGTTAAATTTTGGTCACATAACACTATACAGTAATACCTTTTTCTTTAGGTTTTCTGTGTCTATTATATACCTACTGTAAAACATGAATCAGAATGTAATAGTTTTTTGTTTTTTCAGCAATGATTTTCTTCTCATCACTCTACAAAGAGCCAAGCTCTGATCCTTAGAATTGCTGTTCTGACAAATGCCCTTTTTACCCAGTCACTGAGTTTTAGTGGGCAGCATTCACTAGACAGAGGATTCTTTCCATTATTAAATAACTGAACTTTAGGAGCTGAGCCAGAAACGAAGCAAGCAGATGGCTATGGGCGAGACACCAGTGTTGCATGGTAAGTCCAATTACTGACTTACCATGCTTTGTTCTGCAGTGTGCTTTTGTGTGGGAGCATTAATCTTGGCAGGACTTTGCTTCCTCATGTCAGAGCCTCCAGGAGAACAGTAAACAGGGCAACAGTGACATAATCCAACTCTAAATCTCCAGAGACTAGAAGTCAGGCGCAGCAGCGCCTTAGTTCTCACCCTGCAGATATACGGATATGAGGCTGTACGCACTGAAAAGCCTAGGCACTCGCATTCACCAGGAAGTGGACTGCTATTTTTCAGGAGGATTTCAATTCAAAAGGTAATTTAAGGGTGCTGCTTAGGCACAATTACATGACAGTAAACTCAGCAGTTAAATCCTAATAATCCATTCAAGTACCCCATTTACAAAAATGTAGCTTATTTGTGCTGTGGATCCTCAAATTATCTCTGAATTTGTGCTGACACTCTCCTTCCTTCTGAAGGGTGCCTACCTTTGTTCCCCATGGACCACTTCAAACTTGCTCATGTGATGGACTACAATCTCACATTTAGTTTACTAATTTGTATTGAGATTGTAGTCCATCACGGGAGTGAGCTTGGAGTGGTTACTACAGCTGAGTGATACAAAAATAAGATACATTTTTGTTCAAGTGGACCTTTACCCCCCTTTCACTAAAAATCACATCAGCATGCAGCTCTGTATGCTGATTAAAAATCATCTTACATTACTTAGCTAAACAAACTTGTTTTTCATTTACTTACAAATAGGAGTTGATCTAATTCCTGGTCTACTTCTGGCACAAATGGTGTGTGCCAAAGTGTTGCATCCTGGGAAGGTTACATCAGCAGAGCATTGCTGGGAAATCTCATCTGTAATCTCACAAGATCTCAGGGAAAGGTAATTTTCCTGCCCTGAGATGATATGCATGGTCACATGTCCTAGTCACATGTGCCAGAGTTCCAGGAAGTAGAGAGATATAATAATCTGCCCTTAGCAAAAATAGCCACTGTCAGAAGACTGGGAAAGAAAAGAGAAACAAGGTATACAAAGAATAAAAAGCCAGCAATGATCTAGAAGTATGTGTTTGTAGATTGACATTACTAAACAACATTTCTAAAAGTGCCTTTATTGTCACTTTAAAGATATGGGTAAAGTTCCGCTTTAATAGTAAATGTACTTGAATGTATTTTTAAGATTTAATTTTTGAGTTGAGTGTGACTTTAATACTTTACAATGTTCCTTGTAACATAGCAGATCTTGATTTTTAAATTCAGTTTCACTATAAAGAATGGATTCAAGCAGAAATCTGGGAACAATCTATTTTTTTCTTTAATAATCACTCACTAAATTCTGATTCTCCAATTTATAACCTTTTGTTCTTTGTGAGTTTGCGGCTACAACCACATTCTTTTGGGGACAGAACACACTGAAATCTCCCTTAAAATTGTGCATGTACTTTTGCCACGTTCCGCTTTTTTTTTGTGCGCGACAAACGTACAGGAGCAAACTGCTGCCAGAGAAGCTTATGCTGATTATTTCAGCTCCATTCTCTAGCAAGAGCGGTCTTCAAGTTAATTTCAGGGATGGACTTCAAATTGCTTTCGAGTGTATAGGCTTCAAGGGTGAGCTCACTTCCACAGTGTGTTGCGAGTCTAGGGTAACTTCAAATTTATGATCTATACTTACATGGTCAAACAACTCTAATTTCTACTAGTCTTATCCAAGTACAGGATATATCATCTATAAATTATACTTCAATATGAAGTGAGGAACAAAAGATACTTACATTAAACTCTTCCGAATGTTGTGATGATATTGAAGAGTTCAAGTCAATGTTTCCTGAGCCATCCTGCAGAAAGAATACAAGGAAAATGAAAACGATCCATGAACTGATATCAAAACAAAACAATAGGCTACAGTCCTAAAATTCTTGCACACGATAACAGAGTAACTAAACTATAAATGCAACATGCTTACAGCATTGATTGATACAGCTGAGTGATACACAAATTAGATACATTTTTGGTAATCGTTACTGTCCTTGAATGCATTTTTAAAGAATTAACTCCAGAGTTTAATGTCACTTTAACAACAAGGTCAGGACTGCCAAAACTGAAATCTCAGCAATAGAGGGTGAAGCTCAGCAACAAACATCTAACCAAATATCATGATCTGCCCTGCTTCATTCTCAGTAAGGCCCCATTCACACCAAGGCAGCATCCTTTTTGCATGTTTGTATGCACAGGTTTAGCATGCCTTTTTTTCACGTTTGCCACATTTTTACGCACGTGAAAACACGCATATATGAAGATGCACGTTTTGACTGGCAGCTCAAGAAACATTGCAGTCAATAGACGGACACACAAAAAAGTGCACAAAAATGTGCAACATGCTTCTGCCAGGCATTTTCTGGCATTTCCATTGAAGTCTATGGACAAAAAACAAGCTTGAAACTGCCAGAAGAAGCTCATGAACCTTTTTCTGTTTGGCGTTTTCCTGCTCAGGCGCCATTGAAAATCATAGGATTTCTTATGTCGGACATTTAAAAGCACTTTTCCTACAAAAAGGTGACATTTGTGTGTGTTAAGGATATAAAAAAAAAAAAAACCAACTAAATTCCAAAATATTATTTACATTGTAAATGATCCTAAAAATAGTTGAAGTTGCTAAACTTGCATTACCTGGCCTACAGAGATTAAGGAGAACTAGTTAAAAAGGTATTTACCTATCTAAACAACCTACTCATTTGAAATAAAACCAAGAAAGACATACACCATAAAGAAGGCAGTGACATCCTATTTTTTCTCAACAAAAGTAGAGTTACTCTTTAATAGTGTTAAAACTAGCTGCAGATTGAAATGAAAATGTAAATTCTATGTCTCTTAAACTGTGCAATACATCTTCCTAGAAATATGTACACACATATGTACACACGGTAATGTGGGTAACTTCTCTATCTGCATAACTCCCATAGACAATGTAATTCCCAGTTTGTGTCAATGGCTCAGTGCTTTTCATGGAAGTCTCTTTTTTTTTTAAATGGCACTGATCCTGTGACTATAGCAGACTGGCACTCCACTTAGAAACCAGGAAGAGGGAAGTAACTTGAATATTTGTGTATTTGAACAGTAACAGCACCCAGCAGGACATTGAAATGGTGTTTGCTAAAATGTTTGCAATGTATTTAGATGCATAGCTCTCTTTAGGCTATGTTCACACCACGTCTGGAGCAGATCTGCAAACACAGTGCAGTTTATTTTTACCGTGTTTCGATGCTGGGGTTTTCACTGTTTGCTTAAAATTGACTTTTAGGTGCAGTCCAGTGCGTTTGTATGCATTCCATATTCGAGAAAATGAGACAAGCTATATTTTTTTTTTGTCTGGACTGGAACAGACTGCGGTCGTATGAACAGAGCCCAGAAATAACATAGGGATACATTAGGATGCTTTTTTTGGTCCGGGAACAAACTGTTCTGGTCTGGACATGGTCATTTGTTGGCACTGTGCCTCTTTTGAAACAATGTCCCTCATTCCTTTTACCTCTGGTGTAGATATCTGGATACATAAATGTACCATCATACTATCAATGTTTTTTTATATTGCACTAAATATTAAATTCATCCATCAAATGATTGCATTTGTTAGCTAGAAACGGCAATATAAAGCAAAATACTGGTGAGAAAGGTTTAAGTGATGGGTTTAAACCCAGCAGGTTTAAGTGATCATTCTTTTGCTTTATTTTATGGGGCGTCTGTGTCATCAGGGGTTGTGGCGTGGGCGTATTAACAAATATTCTGTGCTAGAAGGCGCCCCATCTTATAAGGTTGGAAAGCATCATAAAAGACCAGGAGAGGATTTTTTTCTCAGCGGAGTCTCATTTCAAATGTACGGTTTGAGGAGCATTGGCAGCTCATAGGAAATAATCTGTCTCTCACAGTTAACTGCTTTTCCGAACTAGGTTGGTACGATAGAGCAACATCTGCAAGATTGAAACACTGAATGTTCAGTAACATGATGCTTGGTGTTAGTGAATCTCATCCAAACAAAAGGCCAGAATGTTGGGTTGGTTTACAAAGTTACTTCTACGCAGGATCCACAAAGGCATTAATAATGGATCCTTCAAGGTACCACAGCTGGGCTCATTCCCCGACACTTAAACCGCAGGAGAACAGCACAGACCCAGCGAGCAAAACAGTAAGCAGAACCTCTCAGTGAGTCTGGCAGTCAGAACATGTCATGAATTAGGAGTGAAAGTGACTGCCAACACCAACTTCAGTTTAACTCATTCAGCAAAAACTGGGAGGGACAATACAGGAGTCATGCTGTAGCGAGCAGTAAAATGTCTAAACCAAGGGCATAACCTATGATAAATATTTCATGGATAATAAATATGACTGCAGGTGAATCCGTCTATGACACAGACGGTGCACTTGTTCATACAAAGCAAGTTTTCATTTACGTCCCACGCACTTTTAGGGCCATCATTGGATCTTCTGGGTTGGGAAGCAATATACATACATTGACACCTTGCAGAACAAGTTTAATATGAGCCTTCTAACCATATTAGCACACAAACATTCCCCTATACCATCCCATTTTACAGCCAGACACACCCACATAGGCAAATCTTTACTAGTTCTGACAGAATACATTAGTCTTGTGTCTATCAGTCTCTACAAATTGGTGTACTGGGAAATTCCAGTACACACAGTGCTGCAAGAGCCCCTTGGGTGGTAAATCATGAGCCACAAGATACTTAAAGTGGAAGTAGAGCCACAAGATACTTAGGCCCGATGCAGACCTGAGCGATCTGAGATCGCGCATCCCGGGATCTCGCAGTCCTGCACAATTGCAGACAGAGATTGCTGTGCTGCCCCATTGACTTCAATGAGGTACATCCACACGCAAATCGCAGGAAAAAGGTATGTGTACATTTTTTTTGTGATACACGACGCGCGACTGTTTAGGCCCCTATTGTGTTCGGATGCAGGGGCGGAATCTCAGCCAGCTCAGGGATTTACAGCTCCAGATAGTACAGCCAGGTTGGTGACCTCATTTTTCTGCAGTCAAGCAATACAGCTTGGTCGCCTTACTGCCACCAGTGACTGGACAATGAAGGAAGAGCAGCAGACTAATAATGCCATCTCTATCAATCTGTATTTCTATAAGATTACAGTAATTCTCAATAGTTGTACTTGATATGAATGAGTAGTGCACAGTAGCATTTTGCATATTCTCTATGCTGATTACAATTCTAAATATATCTGTTCTTGCAATTGTATTCCATCACACTCATACAGCAGCTCAACCTCTGTGGTTGTGCAGACTCTCTCCAAGGCATGGTACTAAAAGACACAGAGATTGAGTAAGAAGGTGATTGATGACTTGTGAAAGGGGACCACGGAGGCTTTACTAGCATATAAAAACAATGGGGCAATCCTAGGCAGAAACTAAAATAAAAAAATTGTGGCATATCGTGGCCAATAGTTGGCGTAACCCAATATGGGTGCAAGTTAACAGTCCATGGTTAAACAGTACCTGAGCTTCTAAGTCTACATGCTGTTGCCATTCTACTCATACGACACGTGGGCTGCGGAAACAGCTAGGGCTAAAATGTGCTTTATAGCATTTATTATTATATTGCTGGTACTAGGTGCAATGATTGCGGGAACACATCTGAAAAAAAAAGTGTCCATAGAGCTAAGCGGGTAATAAGACATGTAGTTACAATTTAACTGCCATCAGGCACCAGTCTTCCACTGGGTTATTCACAAAGGGTGAAGGGTTTGGAGAAGGCAGGAGAAGTGAACAATCTAGGACAACATAGTTGATTTGGGAAAATTCTCCAATTCAGCTCACTTTCCAGTTCAGCTATGTTGTCCTAGATCAGGGGTAACCAAACTCCGGCCCTCCAGCTGTGGTGGAAATCCCATGAGGCATTGCAAGATTCTCACAGCCACCGACATGACTCCCAGAGAGAGATGCATCATGGAATTTGTAGTTTCCCCACAGCTGGAGGGCCGGAGTTTGGTTACCCCTGTCCTAGATTGTTCATTTCTCCTGCCTTCTCCAAACCCTTCACCCTTTTGTGAATAACCCAGTAGGTGTTTACCCATGGGTAGGTGTTAGAATACACATTATTGTATTCTATTACAACTCCTGCAGTATACATTTTTGGCCCGTAGATGGCAGTGTTTATAAGTTCTGTTATTTATCTATGGTATATACTCTGTTGTATTGAATAAAAGAGAATAAAGCTGTGGCTTCCTTCCTGTTTTTCCAAGCCATGTGCAGCATGCATATCCGACTGTGTGCCTGGATTAACTCCAGGAAAGAAAAAGGTATTTTCGTACTTTTATTGACGATTACTCCAGATATACTACATTGTATCTGCTACACAGCCAAAGTGAAGCACCAGAGAAACCTGAACAGTTTTTGGCTCAAGTAAGTAACAAATTTGGTAAAATGCCTAATACCTTGCGGGCAGACAATGGAAGTGAATATACAAGTGGCAACACACAGACAATTCTCAGAAAGCATGAGATAATGTTTCAAACTACTGTGCCATACAAACAAGAGCAAAACGGGGTTGCAGAGAGTATGAACCATACTCTGTGAGTGGGAGGAGCATGCAGATTGACGCAAACCTGCCTACCACATACTGGGGAGAGGCAATTATGACTGCATGCTATATTCAGAACCGGCTACCAGGTAAATCAACTGAGAAAAACACCATATTAACTATGGAATGGAAAAGCACCGGACTTAAAGCATATAAACATTTTTGGAAGCAAAGCTTATGTGCACATCCCAAAGGAAAAACGTACAAAATGGGATGCTTGTGCAAAA